GTATACACACTATAAAGCTTGTTTCAAACTGGTGGATTAGATTTGAACAGTACTCTTTTCCATACGCGATACACCTTTTTGTAACACCGTTCAGAATACGGGTGTAGGGGAGCTCACTGCTTATGATCTGAATGCAAACTGCGAAACACATTTATGTGCCGTCTCGTCTGAGGTTTCATTCATCTTCGACCTGCAAGGTTCAGTTCTTCATCTTCCACGCGTTTAAACGTGGCGGCTTCGCCTCCTCTACGAGTGCGCAGAAGACGCTGTGCAATCTCTATCAAGGGACTTCATTGTGTCGCAGACACAGAAGACAACCCTTGTGTCCTGTGTCAAATGAGGTGACATCGACGTTCCTTTTGACCGAACAGAATTATGGTGTGTTTAAGTCGAACCCTTGGTAGCGTTATTACACTGTCATTAGATGAAAGGTAGCTAGTGTATCTGCTCTCTATGTAACTCAGGCAAAACCTTTTCCAACTGCAACGTTTTTTTCTATAATTTTTTAACAAACTAGTCGATTCGTTAGGGTTGGAGGGAGGTGAATTGACCCAAGCGACCAATAAAATATCCCTTAATTGGAAAAGGCACTAATGGTCTTTTCATAGACGTTACGATCTTGAACGGTGGGTGGAAAACCAATCGATTTGAAGTGAGTTCATTATTTCTGTTTCTCTTTCTCGTAGTGTAAGCGATACAACAGGTTAGACCTTATCCGCGTTCTTGAACCGTTGAGGTGTTTTTATTCTTCGACTTGAAATTGTTTATTTTGGCAACAGTTGGCTTGTTTTTCATTTCCATGCTTCAGAGCAGCAGCAGGACAGTCGGTTTACATATAACATCTAACGACCTTAAAGTCACAAGCTCTCGCTGAAAGGACAATTGAGTGTTCTAACCGTTTCTGTAATTTTTGTGTATGCACACTTGCACAGAACTTTTCCTGCCATGAGTCCAACATAAACCAGATACTGTACAGTACTATTCCCCCATTTCCCTGGTGAATCGGACGGTCGGCGACTGAGGCGTTTCTCGTTTAAAACGCCAGCCTTGTCGAACACTGGCTGGATTCGGCGAAAAGATAAGACGATTAAAATCGTAAAACATTGAAAGTTTTTTGAAACGCTCGTCGTCTTTTCCGGATAAATTAAGATAGGACGAAGCTGGCGCCCGTTGTTGTTTTATTTTATTTATTTATTTTTTAATTTGAAGGGTTCAGGTTTGTTGCATAAGGTGTTATTCCTACAGCTGGTGTCTGAGATGTGCGTTACAGTGCGCGATGCCTTGGGGAACGGCGAGGCGCTGTTAGTGGAGGTCAAGGCTACGGATCAGGTAATGTGAATGCGGACGGTGTTCAACTTCAACAGAGCTGATGCAAGACAGATTCGGAGACCTGCCTCCTTCTTTAACATAAAACCGCCAGCCCTCATGCTGCGCTCATTACAACACTTCACGGGCTCGGGCTGAGTCGAAGCTCTTTATAGTGGAATACATATTGACATACGAAGAGGGATCATTGGAAATCTGATAACTATTCTAGAGAATGTGGGATTCCGGCGTCTAATCATTTTGATTAAGTTTTTGCATAGATTTCTTTTTTTCTTTTTTTTTTGCGGTAGTCCTAGGCGAACAATCACCCCGTTAAGGTGATGCGAGAAGGCACCGACTTCGATTCGTTAACGTGTTTTTAGCTTGGACAAACGGCACAGATCTGCGGTCTGCCACCTCCAATCAGCCACTGCAACATGTCAAAAGCATCCGACCAGTTTGACGATTCCGACTGCGTGTGCTCCTTTGGGATGAAGTTAACCTGGGATATCAACGACCCCAAGTTGCCACAGGTAACGTCTTGGTTGGGTATTATTGTCAAATCACTTAGGACTGTTTCCTTCGACAACATAGAGAGTGCTTTTACATGTAGGGGAGCTATTGCCGCACTCTTACGTATATACATGCAAAGAGACAAGTAAAGGTTTATTCTACGCTGAAAAGAGGAAAAAAAGAAACACAATGTTTCTGCTGTGGAGCCTTCGTCGGGTGTGAAGGTTCCTACTTGAACTACTCTTGTATACTGTAAAAGGTTTGCACATACATATTGCAGTGGATACTCGTGTTCAGTTTAATGTGTAAGTATGTTAACATGAGCATGTTAAGTTTATTGGCCGCGCTTTGTACTAAGTGTTGTGTATTTTACACTGTCCTCACCCTGTAGTCAAGAGAAGCAGCCTATTGCCACATCCTGTTGCTGTGTCGAAGCGTATTATTTTAAGTTTCTCTGTCAACATGAGTTGTCCTCAATAATAATTTATAGGACCGATAAATGTACTACAGATTTTAAATGTGATCTGTTATTTTTCATTTACGAGTTTTTAATAATTTTCATGAGATTTATATAAATATATAAATAGCGTTTAAATTTCTATATGTAAAAACACTATGTGTTCAAATCACATTAGACAACAATAATTGTATGGGTCGATTCTTGGTTTTCCTGATTGTTACCATACACACGTGAGCTGGTAGATACTGCACAACTACACACATACACACGCACCTTAACCATACATTTAAATAAATTCTAAATTAAAGCCTTACTGTGTCTATATAAACTGTATTTTACGAACCGACACTTGTTCACCGTGTTGAATTCAGGTTATTTCAACACTCCAAGAAATTCACATTTGAAAACTTGCCATTCTCGTTTCCAAAAGAGAAAACGAAAGATGAAACACCCCCCTAGTCCAATATAAAATATAAAATATCCACACCTAGCGCTCCCCACGGGTTCTAGGCATACCATAAAATTATGCATCTAGAATATAGTCTCAATGCAGTCAGTATAGCCTACCTATACAGTAATATTAATAATATTGTGACGTGTTAATAATCGGTGTTAATACCTGATGATAGAATATTTATAATCAGGATCATTGAAATGCTTATGAATGTGTTATGAATGATAGTTCATGATTAAGTAGTAACTCGAATAGAGAAATAAAGGCTCCCTTTCTTAAAAATCTAGCGCATATTATGACAAAAAACGTATCTCATCTGACCAACAACCCTGGTGACGCCGTGCCATAGCGACTTTTGCAAGTTTTAAACGCTTCACACCGATTAGGGGAGGATGTCCTACAGCCCGCAAGAGCCACCAGCAATCGCCAGCGACGTCTTTCTCCCGATTGTAATAACGTTATGTTCTATTTTATATATCTATCTATACGCGCACAGGACATCAAACAGTACGACGCTTTCCAGGAATGGACCGACGGCTACGTCCGCTTCATCTACACGGCGGAGGACAAGAACGCGCAGAGACACCTGAGCGGCTGGGCCATGAGGAACACCAACAACCACAACTGCCAGATCCTGAAGAAGTCCTGCCTCGGCGTGGTCGTCTGCAGCCGGGGCTGCGCGCTGGTGGACGGCAGCAAACTGACGCTCCGGCCGGCCATCTGCGACAAGGCGCGGCAGAAGCAACAGAGTGAGTGTCGCGCAGGGCGGGGACGCGCGTTTCCCGGCTCCTGTCGAAAGTCTCCCATTACCGCTTCGGCCTCCTGAAAACATTTTTAATCTCGAGTACCCCGTTGGACACCCTATACACAAGATAAAACGTCCAGGACTATAGGAGCTTTCGCTTACGGTTGAGTTTGTATATTAACTTTCGAGAATATTTGAGTTCTAGGAATAGTATCAAACAATTGAATGCATACGTATTGAAATAAAAATATTTGTCAGTAGATATCCCAATTATTTTGAATCATCAAGTGACACTTTAACATAGAACCTACATAAATATGTATACATTAAAAAACATACAAATGACATAAAAATGACCGAAAGTATCAAAATTATTTCGTATTGGTTGAAATCCATGTTATGCGCATGGGAAATGCCTGAATTGAAAATTTCATTGCAAAGTAATGACTGATCTCCATTACTTTTTGTACTGAAATAACGACTGTTAACTTCATTAACTGGTAGTCCCTCAACCACAGATACGCGGTGCTAATTAATAATAACCGAAATATTTGTAACTTCTGAAATTAATCATGAACAATGTTAATGCTACTAAGAAATCACACAGGAGGCAGAGCAAACAGTCAAGTTAGGATTAGATTTATGTTCACAAACCTTTCTGTGGTGCTGTTTGTGGATACTAATACTGTACAGTACCATTATATTTGCATTAGCAAGTGCTGCTGTATGTGGAAGAGAAAACACGCAGTCTGTGAGGGTCGGGAAGAGCAAAAACCTTTCCTGTAGAAACGCAGAAGGCAGAAGAGCGCGTACTGTGCATTGAAATGCAAAATTAAGCCGCAAGTCTACCGAGAAGATGTATACCGTTGTCTCACAAGAAAAAAAATGAAGCTGTTTAGCTCGTCTTATGTGTGTGTAAACGGAGAACAGTTTGATAGTGATGGACAATTGAGGCATTTAAATCGCCAGAAACGAAATCGTAATGACTTCCCCAGTAGTAATGGTTTATTTTGTGATATGCTGTCTAGTACTGTACCTCGGGTACACAAAGTTGATAATAAGTTGTTAGTAATAGGAGCAATAACAGTAATTAAACAGTTTCAACCCAAGTTCTACCACAAAAAAAAAAAATACGCATAGTACTTTGTAAAGTACTAGATTTTTAGGCGTTTAGCAGCTTGAGTTATCGTGCTTGCTTACTAGGGGGTCGTATTTCTTCTCATAAGTCTATTTAATAATATTTTTCCTTGCAAATATCGATGTATTTCATAATGTTCTGAACAAATACCTTTTGGAAGACAAAATCACGGTAAACAATATTACGAATCCAGCATATTAATTAATATATAATTAATTTTCTCGGTTGGTTTTCGAACATATTGACCATGACAAAGGATTTCGGGTAGTTCTGTGTACTGATTTTTAAGATACTAAAAATTAATCTGAACTGCAAACCCTATCCGATGGTTTCGCAGACCACAAGTAGGGAACTTCCTAATGTTATTTAGGCGATAAAATCAGTCATAAATGTATGTTGCTCCATATTTTATAACCATACAAAAACATCGTTAAACATCCAGTAATCTAAAATATGTTGTTCTTCACAGTACTGTGTTCATTTCATTCAAGCAGGTGTAAGAAGAGAAATACAAACGGAGTGCTGTGTGTGCAGTCTTTATTTTAAATGAAGAATTCATAGGTTTAAACGTGTTTAGCTTCACATGAGTTCCTTCTGCAAACGCTTTTTCGTTATTACTTCGTCTCAAAATTTATCTGCACAATAGAATAATTAAATTATTTTTAAAAAATAAGAACATAATCGAATAAACTAAATTGCTCTTTTTGAGAATTAGTTTGACTGACTGCCTTCCCATTTGTTGTCACTTAAATTAAATCTCGTTTAAGTGATTTAATGTAATTAGTGTGTTTAAGTCAACTCTGTAATATTGAAAACGGAAAATATTTTACATAATTTGTACAATATCATCTTTCATCATAATTATTTTCCCAACAATTAATACAAACTTAAAATACAGATTTAATATCTCTTAACAAGCATTATACACACTAATCTGATGGCAAAACTATCTTTGCTTGTTTCTAACATAACATGTTCCTAAACTCCACATATAGTGTTGTTGATTACAATACATCTCTTACTGTTTCAAAGCACTTTTTCATTTCAATGAACCTTAAAAAAAGTCACTGTCCTATTTGAGAACTCCCTCATATTTTATGCTTCATTTTAAAAGATATTTTGTTAAAACAAATATCAAAATTGTTAGATGTGATCATGTGAAATCAGAAATCATACAGGCTTACCTGGTTGTAAATTATAGACAACAAAATTAAAATGTGCAAGACTGTATTCTAATGTGACTTAAATGTACTTGTCCATGTTGATTTGTATTACATACAGCATTTTTAATGAAAACATCAGTGCCATTTTTTTTAATATGGTCAGACTTTAAGAAAATATAGTGATTCTGTTGATATCTTTGTTTATTGTATATATAAAAAAATAAGCAATAAAACATATAAACAATGTATGAAGTGACACCCTCCAATGTTAGTTTGGCTTGTATTTTCACTGTCCTGTGTATTTTCTATTTGTTTTGGTCATTTCTGCTTGAAGGAAACTACAAATGTAGCGAAAACTACTGTACACAGTTGTTGCCTGGACATTGTGTTCCCATAATAATTACTAGTGTTTTACACAAGTATTATTTTACAACAAGTATGTTTCTTTCGGTTATACGGTGACGGAACGTGTTTTACCTGATCCCGTGTATCAGCGGGTCTGCAGGAGAATAGTGCCATGAAGGGCAGGCGAGGCAGGTGTCTCCCACATCCTGTGTTTAGCACACCTCATGATGACCTTGGACAGAGCAAACTCCTCACACCCCAATCTGTGTTAGCAATCGAGTCGGATGTGCAAAACACAAGAGCTTTCCACCTCTCCTGTTTTCCCTCAGTGGCTTGGCGTCCCCTTGATGTAGAGTAAAAGAAAGATGTGCTTCTTTTACAGAAAAGCTGTGTCCCAACTGCAGTTCTGCCCTGGAACTTGTCCCTTGCCGCGGACACAGTGGCTATCCAGTCACCAATTTTTGGAGATCAGAAGGAAAAGCAATATTTTTCCAGGTAATTAATTATGTTACCGTTTTTGAAAGTCGGAGTGTCCTCTTGAGCAGACCGGAGAGAGAACCAGCGTAGGTTGTGAGCTATTGTACAGTATGTGTGGAGGTAAAAAACATTTGGATATGACAAACTAAAGGCAAGTCTGCATACCTCTCATAGGAGTTACTATAACAATTCTCCAATCTTACTGACAATTATTGTAACTTATTGCTTATTCTGTTACAACTATATTGTTTATTGGAAATTTATATAATTGATTTACCTACAGCTTTTCTGAATTCCTTTCCATTCGTATCATTTACATCTGCAACTACTGCTAGTCATGGTTTAAATACAGAACATTTAATTAAATTTTGCCCCTTTTTGGTCGAAATATTCTCATAACGTATAAGAAAAGTTCTTAATTTTAATGTTTTGTGTCAAGATGTTACTGAATGTGATTAGTATGTCAAAATATAAATCCCAAAGTACTCATAACTTGAATTCGTAGTCCGTTATATTATGCAATTATAAGAAAAATCATCTTTTTTTAAAAAAAAAATAATAAGTAACTAAAACCAATTTAAATGTGAGACATAATTCCTGTATCGTTTATGTGCACGGAAAAAAGAGAAATAAATCTGAAGGCTTGTTGCATGTGATTCTTCAGATTCAGATTTTGATGTGAAGTCACGCACCTGGCGCGACATTTCCACTGTGGGATATGTGTGGTGCAGTGCGAAGTGTCTGATTTACTTTCTTGTTCAGTGATGCTTATGCGGAGATAATTACACACAGTATGGCGTGCTAATAACAGTTTTACCTGAAGGCTGCTTCACCCAGAGCTGTGCAGCACTGCTCTTCCATAGCGAATAAGTGAGGAGTGGTGCTGGGAAGGAGAAGAGTTGAGCCCCAAGCAGGGAGCCAACACTCCCGAAGTGCAGGGGCTTCATCACATCACATCACTTCATTAGCTCTATACAATTTCTTGCATTAGGAATTAGTCTTTTCGCAGGCCCCAGCTTGCTCTCCATGAGACACACAGGCACACAGACAGGGACAGAGAAGCTTGGGGTCAGAGCGCAGGGTCGGCTATTGTACAGCGCCCCTGGAGCAGTTGGGGTGAAGGGCCTTAATCAGAGGCCCAATGGAGTAGGATTCCTCTGCCGGCTGCGGGATTTGAACCGGCAACCTTCCAGCCACAGGCACAGATCCTGAGCCACAGAGCCACCGCTCCTCCCCTGTCACAGGCTTCATGTCTGCCGTTAGGCCAAGGAACAGTAACTGAATAAAGAATCTGGAAGGCAGCAAAACTTTTTAAATAAATAGAGTCAACCATAACTAAACATAAGCCATTTTCCCTTAAAGTATATGAAAGATATTAAAAGATGTTTTTACTGAAAGAAATAATCATAGAATGTTATTTTTCTGTTCCCCATTGGCATGCCACAGGCCGGCAAGACACACAGCCTCTTCTTTGCTACTGTGCTTTGAGGATGTGCTTGCTTGACCTTCAAGTCTGATTGAATAAATTATTGTACAGGTGCTGAATTTTGAGCACAGGTTGAGCACAGCTGTTTTATCTTCAGCCATGTCCAATATATCCCGTTAAAGTGCTATAGCAGAAACATAGGAATGTGGTATACTTTATTACTGAGAACCGGTTATCGTTGAAATTCTGAATATATACTGTGCATTTGGTGTGAACTTAAAAGCTGGTTAAAATTATTTTACAATAATTATTTATCTGTTCTAGGCCAAAGGGGTCCATGACCATCCCAGACCAGAAAGCAAGTCAGAGACAGAGGCCAGAAGAAGTGCTGTTAAAAGGAGAGTGTCCTCGCCTCATTTCTCCCAGAAGAAGAGGCTCATGGAATCAGAGGTACCGCTTCAGAGTTACACACTCAACGGGTCTTTACAAAGAGCTCATCAAATCGTTCATTCAGTCTTGAGGTGGCCCCCCGTTCATTGTGCTGTTGTCTTTGGGCTCTTTTACAGGCGGGAAGATACCACGACACTGGCGGGCATTTCCCCAACATCCACCACTTGTCCTGCATGGACGGCTCGGAGAGGTTCAGCATCATCGCAGAATCCAACTTTCCCATCCAGGCCCAGCATTACGCTTCTTTCCAGAATGCAGAACCCTACAAGTTTGCCTACGACGCGCCCAGTCACACAGCCGACACCACCTCCCCACTGCAGAAGCCTTCCAACCATCGCCTGTACGTGCCCCGGCCACCCTGTGGCTATGAATTTGCTGTCCCCAGCTACCTTGGGTCCGGTTCCTACCCTGCCATCTACAAGGACTCCAGCAGTCCGCAGCCAGAGTCGGACTCCGGTAAAGTGTGCGCGCAGCTGAACGGCTCTCAACACGGCATGAGCCCCCTGAACGTTCACGACAGGAGCTACGATGCCGCCAACAAGCACCACGGCTGGAAGCAGATTTTGGGCAAAGGAGGCTATGGTGAAAGGAGTGAGTACAGCCCAGTGCCTGCCAATTCCAGTCACCCTTATCATAACAGCGAGTACCCCTGTAGATACACAGGCCCGGCCTCTGCCACTCCCCCAGCTCTGCAGACAATCATAACCACCACGACCAAGGTGTCCTACCAGCCCTGCAAACCGTCGGTGGTCAAGTACGGCGACAACATCTACGACGTGAAAAACCTGCAGAACTGCAGCTCCTTGCTGGAAAACGGTCCTGTGGCGTCCTATCCGGAACTGAAGGTTCCTGAGGATGCTGGGGTTATTAAGTCTGCCTTAGCCTATCAACAAGAAGCACCACCCCCCAAGACGGAAAGAGCAGAAAGCCTGGACTCCTACAGATATCCAGGATACTGTTCCAACAGCTACTCTGAACGAATAGCTCACCCCTTTAGATATGAGAACGGGGAGTACTGAGGAAGGCAGTGGAACCCCGTGAGGGAGACTTAAAAAAAAAACTTTTTTTCAGGACTTCTGTCAGAAGACGTTCATCTGTACTGTGTCTTTCTCAGTAAATCAGAAAGGATGTAAGTGACTGGTCAGGCAAATGCTTGGCACTATTCCACACCTTTTGTAATTATTTGTGGTTATTTATAGACTTGTTAAAGCAACGTGTGATATACTGTATATATGTAAGTGGCACAAAGTGTTCATTGAAGCCATGTACTGTTCATATGTCTGTGTGCATCATTTCACATTCAGCTGTGGCTACTACCTTTAGAAAGAACAGGACCTGGGCATACTACTGTACGGCTATGATATTCAAAACAGTTGTGACACTTCTTAGTAAATCTTATTTTTAGTAATCCTGCTTTGTAATATTGTTTTATTATGTCGATGGGGGTCTATGCAAGACATTTTCCACTCCTTTGTTTTTGGAGGTGAAAAAAAAAACAGAACAAACCAGTTAATACAGACCTTTTGGTGTAGCTGAGTTCCTATTCAGCATTAAAATAAGACAGAGGTTCTCAGAAAATGGATCCCTAACAGAAGAGGTGAAAATGCCATCACTCCTCCATCATCGCGATGGTTGAACTACACCCCAAAGCACTGATGTAATTTTATATTTGCTGCTTATATCAATAGAACTGGAGGCTAGCAAGCTGCGCACATCCAACCCTCCCAGTTTCCTGCGAATGCCGAGTGCAGCAGGTCTGAAAGGGCAAGCTGGGATTCTCGCCTGAGGTGGCTCTCGTTCGAGGCTCCACACCAAGGGTCAGTTCATTCAGCATGGTGGCTCTGGTACTTGTCTGCGCTGTGTTTCATGTTGTGCCCTCAACAGTGAAGCGATCTGCACACCTGCAGTATGGTGGGCTGTCACCTGGATAAAACATGGCTTGTCCTGCAGCAGGTAGAGAACGTGGCGGTGATGGGCAATAATAATGTGACTGTTCCCATGGTATCGCTCGCCCCAGGTCTCTCCATGGAATTCAAACTGTCCTTGCTAGGATGCCTGTCTTTTTGGCACTGCAGACTTGATGTCCATTCCTGTCTGGGCCATGTAAACAGGCCCTATGAAGTCCAGCTGCATTTGCCACACAGCTTATTGCTTTTTAAATCACCGCTGTCCAACACACTCCTGTCAGAATATTTTTTATACGTTTAACTGAGCCTCTGAGCCTCTGACTCTCATTTCCGAAATGTTAAGATATTTATAATGCAACTCAGTGCTATGTATGTTCGCTACATCTTTGCACGACATAAAAGAGTCAGCAATTTAACTACACTGTGCAGAGCCAGGCATGCTGCTAGGCTGATTGGCTGCGTTAAATTGCTCGTTCCACGAGGAGCAGGAGTGGGGCCCTTTCCTTATGAGTCTGCCCAGTGTGGATCAGCTCTGCTGCAGCGTACTGAAGTAGGGGTGGGGCTCAGCCAAAGAAGATACAGGGCCTCCGTGAAGTCTGAAGGATTGAAAAGGCAAGACTATCCCGAAGAATGAATATTCCGTAAAATGGAATCCAAAATGAAAGCTGGCGGGCAAAGAGAAACTCGAGACCAGCTTTCCTCTTTACAGCGTCAGCAGTCAGGTGGAGAACGGAGCAAGGGAAGCACAGCAGGTTTCCAGTTTCCAGTGCAGTACTGCAGTGCAGCATGGCTCAGGGTTCCCCAGGTCTTGCCCATTTCACCGCGCTCCTAGCTGGGGATGCAGCTTCATTTTCCCAGCCACGATCTTTTCCACAGGCCCGCGATTTTCGCCTCCCGGCGGTTTCGCCTCTATCTTTAACAGTGGCCCAAGATGTTGATGTCAAGCAAGCCCCTATTAGGGGGTAAGCCTTTAGGTGCAGCGGGATTTGGGAATTGGGAATTCGTGCCTGAGATGGCGATTTGAAATCACTCGGGGCTGCCCCACCCCATATAAATCTGCCAGTCCTTTTGCTTGTCTCTGCCATTGAGGGAGCCACCCGGTTTAAACAGCGGGATGTGAGTCAAGACATTAGAATCAAAAAGGACGTAGAAATCGCGTTTAGTTATTCCACCAGTCGTTGACTTGATGGCAGGTAAAATTTGATTCATTTAATTCACATATATCCACATCTAAGCTGCATTTAAATGTGTGGAATTGGTAGAAAAAAAGACAGAAATTATAATTATTTTGTAAGAATATGGACAGAGAGCAACTTATTTCAAGACTCATTATAAGAAGAGGAATGCTATAAAGTATTTTTTTCCAAACAACTACGTAAACAAATAATTAAAATTCGGTGTGGATAAAATTTGGGGAGGACGGAAATGAGAACACAAGGAAGGTTATGGACGAGAGGGACCTGTCTAGATCTTTTGGTAGGTAAGTGGTCAGAGGCTCTCATCCCGATGTTACCTGAAGGAAGCTACAGTAGGGTAGCGCCTTCAGAAACAAGGCTGACTAGCTTGTTCAATACCCCCACAACTCTTTATGCAAACAATTCGCACAAATTGCAGTTATACAGTATGCCCATAGATTTCATTATCATTGCAGACAGCACACAGCATTTCACAAGAAGCGTGTTAAAAATGTGTCACTAGAACCCATAATATAAAGGCAAAATAGATATCATTGAGAAAAAAGGTTTTAAATATTCCTTTATACTTGTCAGATTTCATGTGTGTCCCTTATCAGAACTTTAAAAATATAATCATTCTTATTCTTATCTAATTAGTAATATTATTTCATCTTCCCAGGAAATAAGCAACATGTTTTTTGAATTACGTAAGTAATTACCTTGTATATACTGTATAAAATGATATTTCTGCATTCTTAGTGCAATTCAAATTCTCATAGATATACTGTATATGCCTTTGTAGCTAGCAATCTAAAAAGACACATGAAAATGTTAATGTGTGAAAACACCATGTATACCGCAATGCACCAATAAAAGTGCCAATAAAACAGATTGATTAGAAGCAGAAAAATAACTTAGAGTACTTTCTGTTTCCTTAGGCTTTATAGTAATTGTGTGGAATAGTCCTGCGCAGAGCAGTATTTCACCTCAAAGAAAACAAGAAATAACTTTAAGCTGATCCTCTAAATTGCCAAGTCACACAAAATATATTATTTTTATTAATATACAAATTAAATGAATAGTACAATTGTTTATATGTTATTATGCCACAATGATTGTAACCAAACACAAACACTGTTTCAGACTGTAAGAACGAAATAAATTGAAACCAACCAAGTTTTATTTGATTTCCTCAAACATGAGCTGCTGCCTTACAGACGTAGAGTGCAATTATACAGTACATGCACTTAATGTGAGGGAGTCATAAATTAATTTTCCTAAGCAATAAATATCCAGCTGGCATTTTCTTTCAAATAATGTGTGGGAGCTGGCAATGGTGTTAAATCTTTAGGGAAGTCTAAACAAAACCAGAACTGACATTATTTTGTACAGTACTTGCATTTTGCATATATCAGACTGTCACCTTGAAATGACCTCTGTATGCTCTTCCAAGAAGACAGTATCTAGATCTAAAGGCTTGCTTTAAGATTTTGTTTGAAATGCCTTGCCCTAACCAACCACAAAGGAAGAGGTATTGTAGGGTTGGAAAACATTAATTTAACTTACTGTTTTGAATCATGTCTCTGCTGTCATTTTACAGATGAACACTTTATAGATTATTTGTCATCAGGAAGCTTTTAATCATGTAGTTTCTAGGTGTTCTGGCAGGTCTTTTCCTCCTTCATTCCTGCAGCAAAAGATAATGTGTCAGAAGTATTTTCACCTGAAACATGCCTGCCATTCCTCTTGCTGACAAAATCTTTCCACACAGTCAGGTTCAAGAAGAAGAGTCAACTTTCTCTGATTGCTCATGCAAGGGTGAAACACAAAACATGCTTACTTTAAAAGGACAGAGGAGACAGAAAATCCTTATTCTTTTAAAAAGCCTAAGGAATGAATACTTCATGTCTTGTGAAAAAAGGAACAAAAAGTCCAGTGCTAATACTTCGCTCTTCTTTTGTGAAGACAAGAATTCCACGATGTCTTATTCATTAAAAGAAACAATCCCTGTGTTTGATGTGTGCATAAAAATGGATTTTATTATTGAAACATTTCAACAGCCCAATAAGTGAAAACAGTCACACAAGCAGCTGGTTTCACCATCAACTCACTCTCCCGGTTTTGATATGACTCTGAGATGAGAAAAGGTATAGGAAGAAATGTATAAAAACACCCTTCTCTGGAGAAGCATGTGACTGACTCAGTGACATGTTCTCATGTGCAGTTTTCCGTTGGTTTCCCTCCATGGCCAGCTGGGGCACCTTGTTTGCTGTGAGTGTGTACGTGCCTCACGTGTCCAATTGTTTATTAAATCGAACGATCTTCCTAATAGATATTGTTCCAAGCGTATCCACCACATGCCACATCTATGCAAATTAAAGGTTAACAGCAGTGTGAAGTGTCAGAGGTATTCCAGAGCAGTCGTTAGGAACTGGAATTGAATGTCCTTTTATATCTCTGCCCCCCTACCCACCTCCACAACATACCCCAGACCCCCCCCCCAAAAAAAAATCACTTCTTAGTTTCTCAGTTTCTTTTCTTCAACACACTCTATTTTATCCTTGCACATTGGCTGCCTTTTGATGGTGCTTAATGAATGATTTAAATATGTCAATGCAAGCCTTTGTATTGACACCTCTTTGAAACATCTCCAGACCTTTTGTTCTGACACATACAGTACTGTGTCTTCACCACTCCCATTGGCTATTGTCCCAGAGCACATGTTGTAGTCTGTGACCAGTGCTGCATGTGAGAGAATACAAAATGTAATTCTAATAATTGTATTCAAGCCGTTAGGAGGCAGACAATCAGATAGACAGGCAGATAGATATCAGTGTACAAACTGTTTATTTTTAATTGTCATTAGGCAGCAAAGTAAAGACGTCATTTTCACTGGTGGTCCAGTTGTTGTGTGTCAGTGCAGAGCAGTATATATGCTGTAGATAAGGATACTTGTGACACAAATGTAGTCATACTGAAACTCACAGTTGTCAGGCGTTGAGAGGTTTTGGGAAAACTCTATTTCCTACTTTTGTAACACTTATCATTAATTTTCCAAAGCCTATTTCATGAATAGAATTCATTATCAATAATGCACACTGTGAATGATCCTCCTTAAAAGATAAGTACATTTTAAAGCTGGCAAATAGAATAATAGAGTAAAAATAATAATAATCCCAAACACACGCCATTTATAAGAAGCACTGTATTCTGTTCAACCAAGAAAGCTGCAGGTGTTAGTTCCACTGTAGAGATTATTATGCCCCTATGATACTCGCTCAGCAGACTTACAAACTCCAGTAAGAAATTATCATCACTGTCGAAAA